TCCCTGGCCCTAACCCCCATTCCTGGCCTACACTCAGGTTTTGCCTAAAGCCGCCACCACCCACGACTGCAGTCCGGGAGCGGTGATGCGCAGCGCGTCTCAGAGATCCCCCGCCTCTCCCTGGCTCCGCGCTCTCGAGCCCGCGGCTTTAAAAAAAAAAAAAAAAAAAAAAAAAGGAAATACGTTTGAAAGAAAAAAAATACGCGCGGGCGCACACACAAACACACACGCATACACGCACCCTGGGGGGGGGGGGGGAAGGAGGGGGTGGTTCTCGAAATTGGTCGTTTCGGTGCAAAAATCCGCAGGTCTCGCTCGCTCTCACCTCTTTTCCAGCTCCGGACACGTTCTTTCTGGATGCTCCCAGTCCTGTCCGGCACCTGACCTTCTTGGTCCCCCGCGCAAGGTCAGGAAACAAGGACCAAGATCTAAGTGCAAGATTCTCTTGCGGACCTGGTACGCCCATCTGGCCTGGGAGGTGCCCGCACCCATGGCCCCCTCCCTCCGCTAGAGTCGCGGCGGCGGCAGCGTCACTGTGTCCCAGCGCACAGACCTTCAGCCGGCGCACCAAGACCAGAATAGCGAAACTTGTTGCTTCCAAAGGCGAGAGGATGATTCCGCTTCTGAAAGTGTCACAAAGCTTGGAAAGCATTCCCCAAGGTGTTCTTAGGACTCTGTTTGCTAAACCAGGTAGCTAAAGGGGACTGTCCCCCCAAATCCTCCCTCTGAGAGTCCTTGACCGTCTGCTCCAACCCAAGCGTTGGGAGATCCGACCGCTGCTGCTCCAGGGTCCGCGGGGCCTTGTGCCTGAGATTCTGGACTGCTAAGAAAGGTCCTGTCTCGGAGACCCAGTCCTCCCACTGCTCACAGCTACAACCGCGATGAAGACCGAGTGGAGGCTGTGCAGGAGATGTCCTGACCGGAGGCGTGCCACCGGAGTCCGCCGGGCAGCTGTGTAGGTCCGAAAGGACCTGAACCCTCAGCGTGGCAACCAAAGTCATTTGCAGTGGGAACAGACTACATTGCACGAAAAAGTGCTAATACTTAAGTCCCGCAAATTAAATTGGAAATGCTTTGTTTTTTGTTTTGGGGGGGTTCGTTTGTTTGCTTGCTTCCATTTGACTGGGCATCAGTGTCCACCAATTCTATTCGTCTTTAACTTACGCCCTCTTTCGGCAGAAACTTACTCAACCCGCGTTCCCAAGGGTTTTTTTTTTTTTTTTTTTTTTTTTTTAAATTCAGAGACCCTAAAGTGTGCTTGTTCACTGAGGTTTCCCGGCATGTGGCAACTTCCGACCCAAGCACTCTCTCGGCGGTAAACAGCACTCTCCTTATCGCTTTTTCTAGCACTGAAAAGTAATTACGAGTAAAGTTTCATCCTCTGGACTCATTTAGATTTCAGTTCTGCACTGTGATCCCTAAATGCTCTGTAAATAGGAGCTTCTAAGTCCTAAGAGAGCTTTCGTTTATTTAACTAGAACTGCTAACCAGCACTAAAAGAGACGTCTATATAAAATTTAAAGACTTATCCACACACACTGGAAGCTGAGCAATTAATTCCTTCCTGAACCCTTGGGAGAGCGAGCGTTTGTTTATAGCCTCGGTTATTATTAAAAAAAAAAAAAAAAACAGGACAGCAGCTAAATCCCGGATTCCAAGCGTCTTAGTGGACTTCAACTGGTTGCCAGGAGACAGGAAGGACCGAGGTTTCCTGTTACTACCCAGTATGCCCTCTGTCTGGGGAACACCAGCCAATTGCCATATGATTCTGCAGTGTGTGATGTGGGATCACTAAGCGAGTCTGGGGTTTCAGTGGCAATTCTCCCATCACAGGTGCTGCCTAGCCCTTGGGTCAACAGCAGGACAGTGCCATAGCCTCCCCATGGCCTTTGGACCCTCTCTCTCATCTTCCAGCTTGGAGAGCAGAGACAGGAGCAAGCTGTGCAAGAGAGGGCCTCTAAACCAGAGAAACTGAAGGGAATGGGGAGTATCTCTGCCCTGTGTATGTTCAACATATCTGACAATTCCCGTAGATACAAGTTAGGCGTTTTAAGAAAGGTTTTCAAACTCAACAGGCACAAGATTGTAAAAAGTAATGTAAGCAGATGGCTTTTAGTGTTGTGAAGGGTTTGTTTACTTCCCATCAAAGAACATTAATTTTTTGCAGCCAGCTGGAAAAAAAAAGTGAATATTACAATGTCACAGGGTTCTGTAATCTTAGGGCTGGAAAAGACATCACTCTTTCTCTAAAGAATTGCTTCCCAAGGAGTGTACATGATATGTTTAAATGCCTGTTCATTCCCTGAGAATATTTTTTATTGGGACAAATTATTCATTATACTATGTAAAACAGGGCTGGATTCCCACTGTAAGTAATATTCTTTGGTATCAAATTTATGTCTGGGCCTGGTGGCACAAGCCTGTAATCTCAGCTACTCAGGAGGCTCAAATTTGAAAGCTGTCTGGGCTACAGAGTGAGTTCAAGGTCAGCCTGGGCGATTTAATAGTACCCTATCCCAAAATAAAAAGTGAAAAGAGAGCTAGGGTTGTAGCTCAGTAGTGGAACACTCACCTAATATGGGTTCAATCCCTAGTACCAACACACATACACACACACACACACACACTCAAAGTCTTATGTACAGATAAATTTTCAGGCTGTATAGAACAGTAAAACTAAAAATAACATTACTTTATAATATAACTTTTGCAATTCATCATAGAAATAACCTTGGACTCAGGTGTTAGATATTGTTCCTTTCAAGTCTGTAAAACACCGAAGTGTGGAGGGGGAAGATGAATATTTTCCACATTCAAAAGAACACTAACCTTGTTAATTGGTGACATCCTTTCTGGCTTCCATTGTGAAATGAAAGCAAAGGACAAATAAAATTTTATTTATCTAAATTTTATTTAAAATTTATTTAGCCAACTAAAAGACACTGGTGCTAAATGTTCTGTTACAGATACCAGTAGACTTTTATAGGATTTAGAAATGCTTTCATCAGTCACATCCACCATCAGAGCCCGAGCACTCGGTCATCATCTTCCCTCTTTGGGACCAGGTCCTGTTCAAACTGCTGGAGAGCTCCCAACTAGTGTACTTCTCACCACCCATCAAAGAAGCTTCTTTTCTGCAACAGATGGAGACTACTACAACTAACTGGTCAAACACAAAGAATAAGTGTCTGTAAGGTGCCCAGCCCTATATGACACATCTGCAATGCAACCACCGCATCTAAGGCTCAGGAACACAGCAGAACGGGGGGGGGGGGAATATTAACACATCTCTCAACTCTCACCAGTTGAAGCTTCTTTATGCAACAGATGGTGACTAAACCAGAAAGCCACAACTGGCCAAAGTACAGAATAAGAGACTGCAGAGAGGTTATCCCTGAATACGGCACCTATATCAACTTCTGCCACCCAAGGCCCAGGCACCATTACAAAAGAGGGAGCAGAAAGATTCTAAGATCAGAGGTGGTTGATGTCCACAAGGAAACAGTGTTTCCCAGGCAGCTGAGCTGTTACTCTTATGAGCCCAAAGCAATGGTGACAGCATGCACAAGACCCATGCAAGCTCAAGCCAGACAAAATCCCAGCATAGAAATAAGGAAGTGGGTAAGAAGCCTCAACCTTACCTGAGAACTACTGGCAACTAATAAGTACTGGGACAGGTTTTCTTTAAGGGTGTGATGTTAGATAGGTTAACCAGGCTCCAGTGGATGGACTCACATCAAAGGGCATTTGGGGACACAAACTTGACTTGAAAAGCCTTATTATATAAGACAGAGTACATGAAATCCAGCAGGGGGTGCTATTAGAAGCGTACAGTTAAGGAAGGGGGTCTAAATATGATCAACATATATTGTATAAAATTCCAAAAATTTCAATTAAAAAATATGAAGAAAAATAAAAGCCAAAATAAAATAGAAAAGGACATGTATTTATAATATTTCTATTTACAGAAGTATATACAAATAATTTTTATATCTGTAATTTTGTTTGAAAAATCTATTTCATGGTATAACGCCTTTAAAAAAAAAAAAAAGCTGGGCATGG